TATATATATATATATATGAAATGATTTGGAAAATATTTGAACACCTTGTCTTAAAATATTTTATGCATCATGTTAAAATAAAATGTTCCATTATCAATTTTTTTTCTTTTTTCAATTTTTCCAATTTTTCGGAAAAAAAACAAAAAAGGCTTCAGGAAAAAAACGGGAAAAAACGTTTTTCCCCGAATTTTTCCGATTTTTTCCCCGGGCCTTCACTTCTCTAGTCACCTCTTGATTTAGTGATTGCTGTCATGCACCAAAATTAGTTGAGATTGGGGTGCCTATTGTGCTTTATGCAAATGATGCTGTGATCTTGTCCCGAACTAGGGTTGGGCTGCAAAGGGCCTTGCACTCTTTTTCTAATTATTGCTCTCAAGAAAGCCTGATGATCAACTATTCAAAATCTAAGATCCTAGTTTTCACCAGAAAATGGAACCTGTCTCAATGGCCTATCAATGGGTCCAATATTGAGTAAGTCAAGGCCATCTCCTATTTGGAGATTTTGTTTTTGGCAGACCTATCTTGGACACCTCAATTTAGAACAGCACTTAATAAAGCTAAACCATAAACAGTTCTTCCATAATAAGGGGGGGAATATATTCCTAGAATGATACAAGCTTTCAATTTGAAACTGGTTCCCCATATCCTTTATGGCTCAACTATTTGGATTAATCTCTGATAACATCAATCAATCCTTAGCCCCCCCTTTTAAGGAAAATACTGAATATTCCCTCCTGTGTGTCAAAAGTATTGCAGGCAGAATTTGGACAGATATCCTTGGAAGCCAGAGCATGGCTTTATGCCTTTAAACTGAGATTAAAGCAGCTCTGTGCTGAAGATGGTTTGGTAGCTGGTCTAAATCGAGATACCCACAAATTGACTTGGATGAGAAACTGATGATAGTTGGAATGTTGATTTTTGAGATGGGCAGATCGAAAGCATTTTCTCTGATCAAAAAATGTGTGCTAGAAATCGATTATAGTAGTCTGATCCTGAGAGCCCACAGAGTTTGCTCACCCCTATCTTTTGGTCTTTCTTTCTCAAGGTCTCTACCCCCCATATGTACTATTTTACCATCCCACGTTACTGTAGAGCTCTTTTTGTTTGCAAGATTGAATATTA